TTATTTTTTTGAGATGGAGTCTCCCTCTGTTGCCCAGGCTGGAGTGCAATGGCATGATCTCTGCTCACTGCAACGTCCGTCTCCCAGGTTCAGGCAATTCTCCTGCCTCAGCCTTCTGAGTAGCTGGGATTACAGGCATGCGCCATAACGCCCAGTTAATTTTTTTCTTTTTTTTTTTTTGTATTTTTAGTAGAGATGGGGTTTCACCATATTGGTGAGGCTGGTCTCAAACTCCCGACTTCGTGATCCGCCTGCCTTGGCCTCCCAAAGTGCTGGGATTACATGCACGAGCCACCGCGCTCTGCCTCGTTCTCTTTTTAAAACACCCAGTGACCTCTGAACGAATCCAAGTTGAGTTCCGTTCCATGCTGGACGCTTTTTCTATTGCAACAGGCATTACTGATTAAATCTGCCCTTACCGCTTTCGTAGGGTCTGGCTTTGTTTATGTCTGACGCGGCCCAAGGCTACCTAGCCTGGACCTCAAGCCTGCAAGGCTAAGTCCCTGGGGTAAAAACCAAAGAGCCCAGCAAAGCATGCTCAGAGCCGAGCCCCTGCCTTAACCCACTCCCTCTTCCCAACCCCACCACCGAGACATGACAGTGGCAGTCATGGCGCTCAGAGCACCGAAGGGACTGCGAGCAGGTGGCAGGAAAAGATCTGAACTGGCATCTTCTGGCTCTTTCCCTATCAGCATAAGAAACAGCTGTGTGGTACAGAGATACACAGCAGAGGGCGAAATAACGGCAGACGAGAAAAAGAAGAAAAGGAAGGAAATGCGGGAGAAAATGGAACGAGAAGAAGAAACAAACATCAGCTATTGTTGACTATGTGCTGATTACCTACCAGGCACGGAGCTAAACCCTTGGTTTGGCATCGCTATTCATTCCTCAAAACTATCTCAAAAAGTAGGTCAGGGTCAACCAAACACCCTACCACCTGTCTTTGTCAATAAAGTTATTCTAGAACACAGCCTTGCCTATTCGTGCACACATTGAAGGCTGGTGCCTTTGTGCTGGGGTGGCAGAGTTGAGTAGCTATGACAGAGACTGCATGCCCAGAAAAGCCAACATCTGGCTCGCCGCAGAAAAAGTGAGTGCCCCTTCCAATGGGGCCACTGAGGCTGAGCCAGGCTTGCCCACGGTCACTCGGTGGGTAAGAGGCAGGGTCAGAAGTGACTCGCAGGAGTCAGACTCCGGAGACAACATGAGGTTGCAAAGTCAGACCCAAGGACGAGGGGACAGAGAGCAGAGCCTTCCAGAAATGACAGCAACCATGTCTGTTTGGGAACAAAATGCCTTGCACACAGAAGGGCTTTTCTGTGGGGAGAGGCCTCCTAACTGTTTTAAAAGTGTCCCGAAGGCTGGCCTCTTCTTCGTTACTATTTGAACACAGTTTGCCTCTAATTAATTGCAGCATTCCATTCCATGATTCCACAGTTATGGCCACAATATCCAAAGATACACAGAGAAAGAAGGGGGTGTGGTACAGAGACACAGAGAGAGAGACAAAGAGAGAGACACAGAGAGACACAAAGACAGACAGAGAGAAACACAGAGACAGAGACGCAGA